CTTAGATACCTGGTTTTTCTTTTTATAATAAGCTTAGATCTACTAGTTATTTATAATATAATATTATATAAATTCTATAATATAAATAGCCGAGTTATTATAGTATATAGCTATAGTCTTTTAGAGCTTCTAGATAAGCTTATTATTTAGGCTATTCTTAAAGTCCTATAGATTAATATTTCCGTTTATTATATATTTTAGAAATAAGATATAAAATTCCTAAAAAGTCTGGCTCTTTTTTATAAATAGTTTTTTAAAGACTTATTAAATATTATACTTTTTATTTAGGTTATTATATAGCTTCTTTAAATAAGTATATAGTTCTCTAATAGTCTTATATATATATATTAATTATCCTAGTTTAGATAAGAAAAAATTAGTATAAAAATATAGCTATTTATATAACCGGAAATATAAATAATCTTAAGGTTCTTTATTTAGTAAATATTAGAGTTATTATAAAGCTTATTCTTAATTATAATATATATAGGGTTATATATAACTTAAGAATATATAATAAACCTCGGATATTATAGGTATTAATTAGGGAAATTAGTAGCCCTTTAATATCCCAACTAACTACTATTTATATTATATATATTAGGCTTATAAATTACTAATTATATATATACTATTAGGGCTTCCTATTTAAAAAAGGCTTCCCTGAACCTTATAGGAAAGATAGAGATTAGTTCTATACTAAATTTAATACTATAGTTTTATAATATACTAATTCATTCTATTATCTTATTACTTACTAATAAATATCTTATATTAATCCGAATTAACTAATTATTAAAGGTAATATTATCTTTAGTTATACTTTTAAAAATAGGAGAATTAGGGAATTTAACTAAATATCTATTTTCTAAAATAAGGAAACTAGTTATTTCTATAAACTATATAATAAGCTTTTTAATAATAGCTTTATTCTTTTATAGGACTTATTTAGTTTCTCTTAGCTAATTATAATAATTTTTACTATAGGCAAGAATATTATATATTTTCAGAATTAGCTTAATAATCTCCTTATATAAAATCTCTGGGCTTTAGAGTAATTCTTAGAAATCCGCCTTTAATAAGACAGGTTTCTCTTTTTTCTTAGTTCTCTAAAAAAGAATATCTTTTCTATTATAAGTATTAATAAAATATTCGGACTCTTTAAGAGACTTAATAAGAGGCTTTAATCTATTTTCTAGTAATATACTAGTAGTATTTTATATTATAGTTTCTTCTAACTTATCTAGTTATTCTAGAACTTGCTTTCTTATAGGTCTTTATTTAGTAATAAGATTACTAGCCTATTTACTTACCTGGCTAGTCTAGAGCTTTCTTATCTAGTTATTCTAGGGCTTTCTTTTATTCTAATATTAGTTAACTAATACGGGAGTAACTATAATATATTATATCTATATTTATTAAAAACTAATTAGATAAATATTATTTAAATTCTTTATAAAATTAAGAAATAAATAAGCTTTAAATTATATTATAAATACAAGATCTAGGGCCTGAAAAATATAATTAGACTATCTCTATTTTAATAATTTAAAGCTAAAGAGAAAAGAGGATCTTAAAAGAGCCTCGGATCTAAATAATTATAAGCTATATATAGGCTTATATACTAGCTTAAGCTCGGGGTTATATATAATAATTAGATAATTATAAATATCTTATTTAGATACTAGATATCTCTCTAGCTTTAGTCTAATTTCTACTAGTATTATATATTATAATAATTATAATAGTATTATTATAATTACTTAAATATATATTAGATTATTACTATATATTATTTTAGGTTCTCTAAATAAATTAAAATATTATCTAGATAAACTATATAAATAATATTTATAAGGCTTACTAGTATATAATTAATATATATCTAAAATATTATTAGAATATTAAATAATTTAAAAAATATAATATAATACTTAAAATATTTATAATATATTAGAAATACTATTTTTTACTTATTACTTTCTCGTATTTATAACTAATAATAAGTATTCTTTAAATCTAGCTTTATATATATCTTTATTTTATAAAGTCTATTTATAATCTTATTAATAAGTAATAATAGTATTTAGTTCTTAATAATAATTCTATTTAGATTCTAGTAATTAATATATAAATATAAGCCGCCTTTTTTCTTTAGAATAAATATAATTAAAATACTAGCTAGGCTAGTAAAATAATAGATCTATTTCTTTTCTAGGCTAATATTAAGATATTCCTAAAGAACTTTAAGCTTTTTTTCTAATAAAGTATATATAAAACTATATAGTAATTAGAATTCTAGTTTTAGATCTATATAATACTTTATTATATAATAGTTAGGTAATATACTTATAGCCTTTATAAAGAATACTTAGAAAAAGTTCTAATACTTTTTAGGAAATATAACTATTTTATTAGTAATAATAATAGTAATTCCTTAGCTATTTATTATAGAATAGGTAATTAATAAAAAAATATATATCTTATATTTTATTACTTTAATAAACTTTCTAGTATTTAGAACTTTAATTTTTTATAATTAAATCTAGTATCTTTATATTACTTCTCTAAAGGAAATTAGAGAATTAACTTAGTAAAGCTATAGGAATTCAAGTATTATATTAATATAATTTAGATTAAAATTATATAATATAAAATATATATTAGCCTTTTTTTAATTCTCTAATATATTCTTAATAATAACTTCAAGAATATAATTTCTATATAAATAGATTCTTTTTTTCTCTAATAAGAATAAGGAAGTTATTTTTAATATTAATAAAATACCTATATCTAAAGCTAATTTCTTCTTTATATAATTAGCCTCTATATTCGAGTTTACTAATATTCTAATCTTTTACTTATCTTTTATTATCTTAATAGTAATTTTAATTACTATTCTCGTTTTAGGAACCTTGCTTTTTATAATATAAATAAATATAATTATTATAAAATATATTTATTTCCCGGCTTTTTTAGTTCTAGATACTTATATATTTTATAGCTAAACTTATTATAATTATAGTAAGTTAGTTTCCCTTAATTAGAATAAATAATAATATAGTAATTCTCTTTCTAGTAAATAAAGCAAATTATATCCGGTTATATAAATTCTAATACAGGTATTATATTAAATCCTATTATTATATCTTTATTATTCTAGTTTTATAAATCTTATAATAGGAATATATTTCTCTTCTATTTCCCTTTATTATTTTCTTTTTCTTTTTTCTTATTTCTTTTCTTTTATTATCTTATTAGCTTATTATTATATTTCTATTAAATAAATAGGTTTAAATTATTCTTAACTCTTATAATAATAGAAATAAGCTTTTCTCTTTCTTATAAAGTATTTCCTTAATAATTAATCTTATTTCGGATTACTTATTTTAAGCTACTAAATAAGTTATCTTATTCTTATAGTAAACTCATATATCCTAAATTATCTAATAGGCTATCTAAGTAAGATATAAAGCTTTAGATATTCTAGCCTGGCTATTATTTAGTATTCTTAAACTTAGTAAGAATATTATTATTATAGTTTTCTAGATCCAAGATAGAATTCTTTATAAATTTAATAAAGATCTCCTAATCTATAATATTAATACCTACTAATTACTTCTTATATTTCCAGATATCTCTGGCTATATTTTTAAAATAGGAAGTATAATATATAATCTTTACTATATTAGTAGCCTAGGTAATTCTATTATCTTTATATTACTTTAGCTTTGCCTAATAGAAGAAGTCCTGGACTTCTTTAATACTCTTTCTCCGGTAAATAGGTAGTTCTCGGGTTTTTGGAGTTCTCTAAACTAAGGCTACCACCAGGGGTATAACGGGTTCTATACCGGATATCCGAATATCTTTAAGATAACGGATCTGAGCTTCTAGCTTCTCTAGATCTTCTCTCTATTATATCTCTATTTCTAACTTAGTAATATAATAGCGAGCCGCCGCTAATTTCTCCGTTATTATTATCCTATCCGCTAGTTCTAGGGACGTCTGAGTTTTACTTCTTTCTCCTAATTAGGTAGTATAAAGAGTACTTGACTAAGCGCTCTCCTGGATACCCGGTTAGGTTACCCTAGTAGTAGCAGAGGCGCTTCTCCTGGTTAATACTCTAGCCATTAATATTTTGTCTATTAATAGCTTAACTATCTCGTAATAAACTACTCCCCAAAGGTTAGATTAATTAGAATATAAGGTACGTAATAGCAGGGTAATATACAAGTAGTCAAGGTAAGTAAGCTGCAAAGTAACGCTTGCAGGTATAACTGATTCCAAGAGTTAATTCCAATAAAAGACTAATTAATACCCCTTTCTAAAGCTAGGAGCGTCTCCCTATATATTCCCTAGTGCTTAGCCAAGCCTGCAAAGCACTTTACTTAACTAGGAAACATGATCCCATGTAATCCGTATGATTCCGATCACCCGTATAATTCCGATTACTAGCTTTACCTAAAATAGGAAACTAGATCCACGACATCTGACACCTGTCCATGCGCCATCACGTGTGCCCATTACATAAAGTTTAGCTTCCTCGGAAAGAAATTGAGATACCCTATCACGTATCTTCGAGGGTAAGTTTTTTTTGTATTCTTGGGGAAAACGTTGTTTGGGAAGTGGTGCCTGAATTTATAAGGCGTAGACATAGCCAACCCAAGTAAAGAATTTTTTAGACAGCAATGTCTCCAACGGTTAAGTGTTTCCTTCACCAGTGTGCAAAAAAATTAATCTGATTAATTAATTAATTCATGAATATTCATGAATAGCGTGAATAGGATTTGGTTAACGTGATACTTATATAATTTGATTAGATTAGAATAATTAATCATGATTATTTATGAATACCTTGATTAATATACACGTGACTACAGCACGTGATAGTCTAGCCTAATTAAGTAAGGTTCTTGCTCTAGCACTGCCTTAGCGAGCTTTTCTCTGAAGATCGGAGGAAGTCTGAGCGCCAGCGAGGAAGAGCATAAAAGGGGCCTCTGGCCCCTTCTCTGCTCTCCTTACTTGCTCAAGCACTCTTGCACTCTTCAGAGCACTTTTCGACCACCCACCTTACCCTGGTGCCCTGCACCACTTCCTGTACATACCTGTTCCTGTATATAGCTGTTTTTCGTTAGTTGGTTAGATACTGGAGGGCGTGAGGAGTTGTCGCCTGGGTTACCGGGGTTGTTGTTGTTCTCGGTGAAGCCGCTGCCTTTGTAGTAGCGAGTGTACTTGTGCGAGCCTCCAAAAACATCTGTACAGGTGGTGGTGACTGCTGGTGCGGTTGCGGTGGTGGTCGTAGTGGTTAACAGGGTGGTTGAGACGGCAGTCGAAGTGAGTGAGGTAACTATTGAGGTTGAAGTCGGAGCTGTGGCGGTGACACTTTTGGTCAGCGGAGCTTGCAACAAGACATCTCAAGACGTTGTCACGGTTGCAGACATCTGCCAGAACAATTGAAGTAAAAGCGCTTCCGAGGAAGAGAGAGGACTTCATGACGGGACAAGCAGAGAGGCTGTTTCTAAAAAATAAAATAAAAAGACTGTGCGATGTAAACGACGATCGGTGGTGAGGAAAGAAAAGGCAAGAGTCATGTACTTATACTTCTAGTCCATCCTTCCGACGTGGAGAAGAATGTTTTTGGAATTCCATCTCTGCTAGCGACTAGCATTGAGCAGATATCTACTAACCCGCATCAGAAATTCAATTTAATAGACTCCAGCGATGTCTCTTAGCTCGGCTCCAGGTTACTTTCCGAGTCTCTCATTTCTTTTTGGAATTGCTAGGGCGTTTAGGCTCGCCTAGGGAGGAAAGGGTCAAGTACGAAATTATTCGTGGACTGGTTCGGCCTCCGAGGCTCCACAGCCGTTTAACCGCGTTCCAAAAGCGGAATTACCTAGACTTAACCCGATTAAATCTGGCTGGATCTGCAAGCCAGCAGCTTGCGACGCTGCAACTGGAGCGTGGACAAGCTCTACTCGCAACATCGGGAACACCGATTTCTCGAGCCCAAAAATCGAATTAGGGTTAACTTAGGGGCTTAGAAGTTAGAAGGAGTCAAAGGCTCGATGATCCAGGTTGCGGGGAATTATGCAGGGGCAAACCGATGAAATGGAGCCGCACCTTCAGCCGCAGAGGCTTCTGGGCTTCTTGCCCCCTTGCCAAGCGAGCTGGTTACCGTGAGGCCCCTTTTTGGCGCAGAGCGTAAGCCACACTGCAGCCAGTTCACGAAAACTTATAGGTAGGAAGACAATTATCCGAGAAGCTAACAAAACCCATCCACGTGTGGGAATGAAACGCAAGATGAGGGGAGGGCTTGTCAAAAGGCGATGGTCGCCTAGAGGCGCCCAGGGAATGGTGAGACACCGTCAAGGTCTTGACTCTGAAAGAGCATGAACTTTTGTCCCATATAATTACTATAGATTCCCTAGGTATCAAATCATCGAATATCCCGGGAGCTTTAGTCCTGAAGGCACAGCTTTGCTCAGGGGGTAAACAGTCCCATCAGCAGCCCATTGGAGCTTTGAACTGCGCTCTGACAAATTTCTTCGCCACTCTGTATCGAGAAACAGTGGCTCTACGTTGGAGGGTCGATGATAAAAGTCTTCTTAACCTAAGAGCGAACTTCGTGTGATGAGTTGTCGGGTTTTCGCCCGATTTACAGTGTTGGGCTGCTGGGGCTCGAGGCGGAGCAACGAGACTGAGCAGCACGCTGCCGCTAGCACAAGGCTCCCTGTTGTGTTCTCGAGTCTGAAAAGGGTTTGCTCCATTAAGCAGATTGGGAGCAAGGAGCAGGGGAAAGTCCACACTTGCCGTAATGGAAGTAGTTAAGGCGACCATAAATCTTCAGATAATCAGTAGAGCCAAATTTGCATATTTTGTACAGAAGTCCGTGTAGTTGATGTACAAACTGTTGTACACATATACCGTCCATCATTCCACCATTTGATGCATTACCAAGTTCATCCTGTACAGGCGCCTTATGTTCATCCACGTCCATCTCCTATCTCTTCCCCGCCCGCGAAGGGAAGTCGGTGTGATTCCGCAAACCTAAAAATTATGCTCTTCCGTTTCCTCAACCCCCTGCTTTCTACGTGGCGGCTTCTTTTGATCTTCCTGGAATATCGCGATATCCTCTGCTCCTTAGAGCCACTCTTGAATGACACCTCACCAGATCGAATAGGGTAACGGAGCTTGTCTGGCAGGAAAAGCGACCAGTTCTTAAAGATGTTCGGGAGATTTTGGTCTGACCATCCTTCGGCATATTTCAAACTCTGGCTGCCTTGGATGATGAGCAATCGCACCCAACGCTCAGCGTACTTTCTATTCCTTCTGACACGAAGCCGTGCCAAGATCAAGTCCCGCATTCGTCGCTCTGCTAGATGTGCTGGGCTTGGCCGACGTGTGGTGGCATTGTAGATTCCTTGCATGTGGGAAAGTTTCCTAACGCCGTCTTTGAGAACGCGGCGAGCTTCCTCCATCCGAATTTGCATTTCTCCATATCGTTTTCGGTGATGCAGATTAATTATCAGTCGGTTGTACATCTCTAGCGTTGGCTTCACATTATATGGCTTCGAGATCATCGTGTCCCAGAGGCTAGTGACTGCCTCGGGAGGAAGCTGGCCGATTTCTTTGCCAGTGTTCACTGGTTCGCCGTGACGTCTCCTTGTATGGGGTCTCATGGAAATGACAAAGGTCCACATGAGGAGCTCGTTCCAGACATTAGTCGGAATCGGGATCGAGTACTGGCCAGAAATGTAGTCAATCAACCGAAGAGCTGCCGGGATTTGGTTGTTGATACCAAAGGCATGGGCAATACTGTAAAGCAACATGCCAGTTGGATAAAATGGAGAGTGGCGACCGTAACTTTTGGGGGGCGAAAGTTCCGAATCATTTGAAGTCAGCAATTGTTGTACATCGATATTCCAGACGCGCCGGAGGATCGAGGCTACCGCAGACATCTCACCCTCACGGGCGTTGGAGACCATCATCAGACAGAAAGTTTCCTCATTTCCAGAAATTCCAGCTTCGACCATGTTGCGGAAGTGCAGGGCTACTTGGGCTCTGATACCCGAGCTCCCTCCCACCTGGTGCCCTTTCAAGGTATAGGGAGAATTTTCCCAAGCTCGGGGTGCAAAATTTTCAGGGATAACCCTGAGCCTGAATCTGAGAAGAGGATTTGTGGTGTCATTCCAGCATTTGATCCATAGGTAGGAGTTGTAGCAATCGACGTCTGGGGAGGGTAATTCGGGGGTTACCTTGTCATCCTCCTTCCGAGCGGTCAATCTCGTCCAAACATATTCGGCCAAATCCGGATTTCCTGTTGCTCGTGCACACCTGAGGAGATACTTGTAGTCTGAAAGAGTAGATGGGTACTCCCACTGCCGTGCTTCCAAAATACTCTTGACATGGTCGAGGAATAAAATGCAGAACTTGTAATATCCACCTTGTAGGTTAATAGCTTCAGATGGTCCGAGCTTCTTCACCAAACGGGGACTCAATTCCTTGTGCAATTCCTGGTATCGGCCAACAAAATGTTTTGGATCCAAGCATCGCAAGACCTCGGAAAAGGTAGCAGGAGGCATCGATATCACAAGTGAACGGGTGTTATAGAAGCCGACCATCTTCGCGTGATCCGCAAGGGCCCTCAGAATAATATGGGGATTGCCAGTCCTTAATGCAAAGTACACTGCAGCTTCGTCTTCGGTGGGTTCATCGATTCCATCTTGGTTGAGCGGCGGTCGAAACATATCACCCTGCACCTGAGGCCCGAATTCTCGCCCGAATCGTCTTTCCAACCGTCTCCATGTGTGAGCAGTCCCGACCCTTAGACTAAGTGCTTCGGCTTGTATCCGTGGCTTCGGGACCTCCTGCTCTTGCACCTCAGGCTTCGATCCATTTCCAACTGATATCCTCAGCCCTCCAACGGTGTCTCTGTTATCTTCTAACGTTTCCTGACCCAGGTCCAGTCGAGTCTCGCTCTCGTGAGCAGGTAATCGTTCTCCCACGGCTGCAGATTGTCGACGACCGTTGTTCCGAATGCATCTCCGCAACCTCAGAGCATGCACGCGACCCGGAATCCCTCGCGGACAGGAATAAGAGGCGATCCGAGACTCAATTGCCTCAAACTTGAGAAAGAGTGTGCTCATGGGCTATCGATACCTACTCATTTTGATGTGAAGGACGCGATTCAAAGGTGTGGAGAAGGTCGATGCTCCTCTGGGCTCTCGGGACGCAAACCTTAAAGAGATCCTGCAAAATAAATGTCGGCAAGTTCCGGCAGGGATGTTGACTCGCAGAAGGGACAATCAAAGTCAACATCCGCAACGACAAACACACTCTCTACCAACCAACTCCAATTCTACGAGCCATGGCGGATGTCGATGATGGAGCATCTGCTCCCGCGGAGCCTTTGGACTTGGTGCGCCTATGCCTCGACGAGATTGTTTTCGTGAAACTGAGGGGGGACCGCGAATTAAAGGGCAGGCTGCACGTATGTTCTCGCATCTGCCCTCGATGGACTCCGCTGATAGCTCTATAGGCATACGATAGCCATTGCAATTTGGTGCTAGGCGATGTAGAGGAGACAATCTATGTGGTGGAGGAAGATGAAGACGAGGAAGAGACCGTGAGGGTAGATTTCGAAACTATGGCGCGCAGATGCAAAGCTTGCTAAGACTTCTGCAGACAATACACAAGAAATCAGAGATGCTGTTTGTCAGAGGTATGTCCTGGGGCTCTATGCAACTATGCCCTTGGCTTGAGCACTGCTAATCCTGTGTAGGAGACAGTGTTGTCCTCATATCCCCTCAAGCACCATCATGAGAGCCGAATATCAAAAGCAGTACTATGGGGAAACACCAGCAGAAAGGTCTGGGTCATTACGAGTTTGCAGGATAACCAAAAGGCACATTGCAGAACATTCTAGGGGTCGGGGTTGAGGCTAGTTGTCACTTTCACCAGGAGCCGTATCAACCCATCCGCGTACCATGCCACATACCAAATCAAAGACTCCATTAACAGGGCACACTGGATATATCTTGCGCAATTAGCTTTCTTGCAGCCAACACTCTATTTTTGTGGCATTGCAAGTTTGCAACGTGACTCAAGTTCGATGAATCACGACTCCTTATCGATAAAGCTTCCCCAGACCGAAGGAGTCATCACTTCTTTATAAACGATGCCCCCCCTCCAAACACCTCCACATCATCCAATACACTCCGAACAATGCAGATACAATAACAATTCACTCTACACTAAATTGAAATCATAGAATCAGACCAAATGATCCTACGAATACACTAAAGAGCCATCCCACCCCACGCCTTGCCAAGCCGTCAACTGCCTCAATTATGGCAACGAAAGGCAAACAGCTCCCTCATGAGCGGCGGAAAGGCGAATCCGTACCTCTTTCTCCATCCTCTAACCAACAAATACTAGCTAATCAATTCCCATCAGGCATTGAGCGAATTCGCCGACTACGTCGAGAAGCAGCAAGCACTGCGCTACCCCTCCACGGCCACAGCCTCAACCTCCACCTCCGCGGTCAATGAGCACGCCGAGCTCGACGACATCCTCAATGGCCTCAACCTTGCAGACACCTCCCCTTCCGTCCGTCTAAAAGAGCTCCTGCTCACGCACAACGATGATACATTTTCCAAACTCGTCAAACTCCTCGAAGCCAGGGTAGAAGAGGGACATGGCGAGACGGTATTTGAGATTGGGTTTGAGAATAATGGTGATTCGATGGGATTGAGTAAAGATGAGTGGGATGTGGCGTTAAAGAGGCTGAGGGAGGCGGCGGGGAAAGTCAGGGCTGATTGTCAGGTGCTGTTGACGAAGCATGTTGGTGGGGAAGAGGAGGCAGAGAGCGCAGCAAGTGAGAAAGAGAAAGATTGTAGTGGGAAAGTGCTGGTGAGACAGCATCCTGCTACGGTCGAGGAAGTCATTGAGACGCGCATTGCGGTCGTGGGGAATGTGGACGCAGGGAAATCCACCATGCTCGGTGTCCTTGTGAAAGGCGGATTGGATGATGGGAGAGGGAAGGCGAGAGTCAACCTCTTTCGGCATAAACATGAAATTGAGAGTGGACGGACCAGTTCCGTTGGGATGGAGATTATGGGATTTGATACTATGGGGAAAGTGGTTGCTGCAGAAGTTCCAGGACGGAAACTGTCATGGGAGGAGATTGGGAAACGCTCCGCGAAAGTCATCACGTTCACGGATTTGGCTGGACACGAACGTTACCTTCGTACTACTGTCTTCGGTCTGCTTTCTTCCAGCCCAAATTACTGTTTGCTGATGGTAGCTGCGAATAACGGGCTGATCGGAATGAGCAAAGAGCATCTGGGGATTGCATTGGCACTCAATGTCCCAGTCATGGTCGTCATCACTAAAATCGATATCTGTCCACCACAGATTCTCGAGCAAACCATCCAGCAAATCACCCGAATCCTCAAATCTCCAGGCGCTCGCAAAATCCCAATCTTCATCAAGAACAAAGAAGAATGCATCAACACCGCCACTCAATTCGTCTCCCAGCGAATCTGCCCAATCTTCCAAGTCTCCAACGTCACAGGAGAATCACTCGATCTCGTCCGTTCTTTCTTGAACATCCTCCCTCATCACGGACACTATGATGCAGAAGCCCCTTTCGAGTTCCATGTCAACGACACCTTCTCCGTCCCTTTCGTCGGGACCGTCGTGTCTGGAATCGTCAAAAGCGGAGTCATCCACGCCAGTGACACTGTGCTCATCGGACCAGACTCCCTCGGCCAATTCACAACCACGACAATCCGATCCATCGAGCGGAAACGGATATCTGTTCCTGCTGCATCGGCGGGACAATCTGCATCTTTCGCGCTTAGGCGAGTGAGAAGAAAGGATGTACGGAAAGGAATGGTCGTGCTGCCAAAGCTCGAACAGAACGCACCAAAAGTGTACCGCGAGTTTGTTGCTGAGGGTGAGATTATTCACCTCTAACTTCCCGCCCCTAATCTGCTAATAGCCCATTATAGTGCTAATCCTCTCCCATGCAACAACCATAAAAACCAAATACCAAGCCATGCTCCACGTCGGGCCCGTCTCCCAAACTTGCGCCATAATCGATATCGACCGCTCCTATATCCGCACAGGCGACAGAGCAACGGTCGCGTTCCGCTTCGTCCAGAGACCGGAATACCTTGCTCCTGGTGATCGATTACTCTTTCGAGAGGGACGGACGAAAGGACTGGGCATTGTGAAGAGTGTGGGGTATGATGCGAGTAAGCCGTTGAACCCGGAGAATAAGAAGGAGGGGGAGAGTGTGGAGGGGAAGGGGAAGGGGAAGGGGAAGGATGTTGAGGGGAACGGCGAGGTTAGGAAGGGTTAGTTGAGTTGAGAGATTGGTGTTTGTTTTATTTTGGGTTGGGCCAGGAATGGGGTGCATTGCGGTGCTGGGGTGGTGTCGAGGTGGGAACAATTGTACTTCTGGGTTCATACTTGCCTTACTGGACTGCATTTCGCTCCCTGGAGTTTGGCGTCTTTCTTTGGCAGAGAATAATACACCTTCATTTGATACACCCTTCAATCGGACGCCTCATTCCACCCGTTTCCGAAGTTATGACAGATAGCAAAACGACATACAAATGAATACCAATACCAAAACTTCATCTCTTTCCAACGCCCTCCAGATCTTCCTAGCGAGGGGCCCCGGAAAAAGCACCCACTGAAATACGGCAAGCATTACAACACCTGATACAACCAAGGGAGCAAACCAGCGCATGATATCCCTCCTAGGATAGACTGTCCAATTCCCCCTACTAGGGCTCGAGCATCGGTCTGTCACGAGTCCAAGCCCCCTTTTCTCAAAAAAGCCGCTCAACTCCATAGTCCCATTCCACAAACTCATAAAGTTGAAGTTTGCATTACCGACTAACGACTTGCAGTAATCAGAGTTCTGTACGTCCTACACCCAGTTAGAAATTTAACTTGATACTGACTTCAAAAGATCGACAAACTAGATCAGGACTCTGGGTGCACGTCTGAAATCCACTCAGCATCATCGAATTCCACGCAATCTGATTTGCCAGTCTCGCTTCTCTATTTGCTGTATTCGTCTGCACAATCGTGACAACTCCGAAGCACGTTGCTAAAATCAGCCCAACTATGCCGAGAATTGCGTTACAGAGGCTGAAGGGTATCGATAGTCTACGAGGTTGAGATGCAAGGTCTTGTTGAATACCAGTAGCTTGTTTGAACAAAGTAAGTTCAGAGGATGCCTGAGAGCTTGCAGACGGAGAGTGCTTGAGGGACATTGACGGATGCATCTCTTTCTCGCTGCTAAGAACCAATCGCACGGCAGCGCGGGGAGGACGAACTGGAGAGAAACTTGGTGGTGACATGCTGGGTACTCGGTGCAGCAATACTGAGGCCATTAGCGGGCTAGCGGACAAATCCGAGAAGCGAAAAGTGATTTTCTGATTTTCTGATTTTCGCGCCCTATCAATATCTTCCGCTTAAACTATCATGAATATATTTAATATCTATATTATTATTATCATTTCAGATATGAAAGGTAATTGAATTATGATTAGGATGGTTCAGACCTTTCGGAATGAGATATAGACGTTTTGGGAAATATGGTTTCGGAGCTGGCGGATATTCTATATCTTTCGCTCATATTTCTGTCTATATTCCAGTCTTCCATTATCCCTTCCTCCAATATCGTCTCCTCCCACTCCTATGATCTCCTCTTCCCCTGCTTCCTCTATATCTATTAAGCTCATTATATCCATCATGCCTCCTATGTCTCTCATTCCCTCTATCTCTACACGGAGCATTAGGTACCCTAAACGGAATGCCTGGTGCGTTCGATTCCCCCCCAATCCTCATCAGCTCTTATTCCGCACATACGACATGAAAAAAAAAAAATCACTCCACACCCCCCCCATAACTATATTATAATATTGAAAGGGCCTCTCTCGGTCTCTTTTCTTATTACTATAAGTAGCATAATAAGCTTAAGAGAATTCGGTTCTACAAAGTAATATACTAAGCTTGCCTCTAGATTTGCCTTGCCTTTCTCTAATTCCTTTAGCTTCCTGCCCTAGTATAGCTCTATCTCTCTAACTTTAGCCTTATTATTAATTCGCTTTACTACTTTAGTAGTATTATTGGATAGTATAAGGAGATTAAAGTATTATTACGGAAGAGGAGGAGGTTATATATAAGGAGGAGGTCGAGGAGTAGAGGGGTTTATTAGTTAAACGTATTAATAGGAGAGGATATTATAGACTGAGTCTGGATTATCAGAGAATATATTATAAATATTATCTTTTTGCTTATTTATAGCTTTATTGCCTTTTCTACCGCTTTTGCCTTTACTAGAGCTACTACCTAAAGCCATATTTAATATATCTTTAATAAAGAAAAGCTTTAATAATAGTATTATATATCGGAATTAAAGTTGTTTTCGGAAGGAGGTTAAGGTTAAGGTTAAGGCTAAGGTTAAAGCTAGTATAGCTATATCTTTATTATTTACCTTTAGGATATAAAAATATATATTTAATATAATTATTTAAATCCGAATAAATTTATAATAAATAATGCCTGAAAATAGAAATATTAGTACTTAATAGTCCTAGATTAAGTATATTTAAATATTAAAAAAATTATAATTTTAGGTATTATAGTTATAAAGATAAAGATATAAATATTCTTTCTCTTACTAATTTGCAAAAGCTAAGGTATACTAATAATAATTAAACTATATTTAATTCGTATAATTAGCTAATTTACTTTACTAATTATAAATAATTCGAGGTAATTTAAATCTTCTTAAATCTCTATATATAGCTTATTATATAAACTTCTATATCTTTATATTTAGTAATACTATAATTATAATTTTTGGATAAGAAGAATTCCCTTATTCTAGTATATATAATTATATTTATTTCTTATTTTTCGAATATATAGTTATTAAATTAAAGAGGCTTAAGAATTCTAAGTAATACTTTTTCCTAAAAGATATATATCCTTAATAAATAGTAAAAGTAAATATGGAATTATATAATAATATAACTATCCTATACTAGTAACTTTATTTTCTATAAAACTATAATTTTATTCTATCTTTACTCTAAAATCTCTATTCTTTTTCTATATTTTTTCGACTTTACTATTAATATTAAGAGCTTTTGCCCTCTACTAATACCTTCTCTATTAATACCTTTATTAATACCTTTATTAATACCTCTATTAATACTAAAAGCTAGTATCTAATTGCCTTATAACTTTCCTCTCCTCCTCCTTATTCCTCCTTATCTCTTCTCCTTACTTCTCTTCCGAACCCCTCTTTCTTACTTCTTCTCCTTTAATACTTCTTCTATTAATACTAAGAGCTAATATCTAACTACCTTATAACCTTTCTCTTCTCTTCCGAATCCCTCCTCCTTTAATACTTCTACTAATAATACCAAAAGCTAGTACCTGACTACTACTTCCGGGTTACTTTTATCCAGAACTCCTATATTATAAGTCTTTAATCTATTTGCTCTTTAGAAAGCTAAATTTTAGATCTCTTCTCTCCTTTTCTAATATCTCCTTCTCTCCTTTTCTAATATCTCCTTCTTCCCTTTTCTAATATCTCTTATACCTTCGGGCCCTTTGGGAATATCCTCTCTCGAACTTCCAAAAAAGAAGCTAATTCCTGTTTAGATCCCTCCGAACTTTAATACCTCCTCTCTTCCTTTAATACTTATAAAAGTCTTCGGGCTACTACTAAATACTTCTATTCTTTGTCTTGGAATATATACTAACTTATTCTTATAGGAAATAGCCCTTCTCTCTCTAATCTCGACTTCTTTAATATATACTCCTTGCCTTTAGGCTATTTAGATATTTCCTTATTCGCTTTTACGGAATATATACTAATTTACTTTTTAGTTCCTTTTACCTTACCTCTCTTTTAATATTACTATATATATATCTAGTTAGTACTGGTTCTTATAACCTATAGTTAGGCTTTTTATTTATTAAATATTCGGGTATTTTGTTTTACTTTTGCTTTATATATTTTATTTTATATACTTTACTTTTCTTTTATTATAGGTTAGGACTCAAATAGTATTTACCTTAAGTACTTATACTCTCGGATATATAAGACTTCTATAAATCTTTCGGGATTATAAACTAGCCTATTTTAGTTCGGGAAAGCTTTCTCGAAAGTATTTCAGGAGTTATAGTATTTACTATAACCTTTTCTAAAGATTAATATAGTATAGGTATTTCTGGTCTATTCTCTTTCTATAGAGTAAACCGCTGCCCTAAGTCTATATAAAAGTCCTAAATATTCCTTGAATTAAAGTATAAATACTTCTTATTCCTATTAAATTAGATATAAAGGATAGTAGATGCCTTTGGGCTAGATTATAGTACTAGTTAAGTACTAAGACTCCCTATACCTATTTTATAAACTTGTAGTTCGAGATATATTATATTTAACGGGGCTTCTATATCTAATTACTTTATACTATAATAAAACGTTTTAGTATTATAGTTAGGAGAGTTCTGCTTTATAATCTTATCTACTACTTATAGATTTTCTAGCTAATAAGTCTTAGCTAATAGCTAAGAAACTTATTAGCTACTTTATCTAAAGCCTCTAGGAGCAGGAAGTTACCTTAATAAAGACTTAGTATTAAAAATAGGTTTAACTAATTAATCTAAATAAGGAGTTTATAATAGAAGTTTCTATATATAGGTAATTCTATATAATGAACTCAAGTCTCTATCCCTGGTTATATAAGTAAGCCATATAAGAAACTCTTTCTGGCCTATTAGAGTAGTTTCTGTCTCTAGTTATATGAGTTATAATATATAATAAACTCAAACTTTTCTTAGGTTATTTTTAGAAGAATTAGTAAGCTTTTCTAGATAGACTTATTAAGGCCTTGGTTTTTAAAGATATTAGTCTAGCCTTCTTACTCTCTCTTTAGGTAATAGTTTGGCTCTTAGGAATTATATATAAATATTAGAATAAATAAGAAGATATATTATATATACTTTCTAGATAAATTAGGATAGAACCTATAGAATTCCTGTAATATTTTTATTAAATCTATAGTACTAGCTAGTAAAGACTTTAATAACCTTAATAAGACTTGAATTGCGAGCCCGGTCTTTAGATTTCCTGCTTAACTTAAAGGTTAAGTAGTCTATAATAGGTTACCTATTATAGAATATATTATACTCTTTTCCTAAAGAGTACCGGGTACTAGTAATAGTCCGGAAGCCCTAAAGCCCTTGAGATTCTTTATAAGTTTCGGGCTTTGGGGCTTTTCTATAGCTAGCTAATTATATGGAATTATATAACTATACGGGTCCGGTATTAATATAAAGTAATTAGTAACTTTATATATAGATATAGTATGGTTTTTAGTATAGCTAGTCTAATATATTATATATTTATATATAAATACCTGTAATTTTATTATTATAATATAATATATCCTTAATATATCCTTAATATAAAAATCCCTTTATAATCCTAGACTTTTAGAAGCCTCCTCTATACTAAAGGCAGAGTATATAATACTATTTAGGTATTAAACTCAAAAGGCAAAGGATTATAAAGGCCCTAATAATTATAAAACTTTATAAACTTGGGTAGATTTGAGTAT